TGTTTGGCCTTACACTGCATGGCCCATTGACTCCATAATATGAAGCAGAACCTCATTAAAATCTCATCAATTATGTGAATGGTTTTCAGTATAGCTTCTTGAAGCCCTGTCTCGTCTGAGTGTGTGTGGTTTATAGCCCTGTGTTGCAAGGATATCTAAAGAACTTGAGTCACTGTGCAAATTACATGTCCCATTGTCGGAGCGGGCACATAAACTTTCTGCATTTATAATACCAAATGGCTTGTACTTCTACAGAGTCATGCCTTAGTGGTTTCATAATGCCTCAGCAACATTTCAGAGCCTTATGACCAAGGTTGTAGGGGATTTGGAGGGATGCACAGTCTATTGAGATGATGTGGTGGTCTATTTAGATACACGGTGCTCTCATTTGGAGCACATTTGGACTCTCTTCAGCCACTTGGCTGAGGCATATCTCAATGTCAGCCTCACCAAGTGTGAGTTTGCAAGGGCCAGGGTATAGTTTGTCCAGTGCAAGAAAAAATTCAAGCTGGAACTTGTTTTCTGGTTCTGGGGGGATACTTCTGAAGCTGGAAGTAGTTCCACTCACTGATTTGCTGAAGGGGAAAACAACTTTTGTTTGGTCTCCTGTTTGTAAGAGGCTTTTGAAAGGGTATGCTATACTTTTGCAAGTTGATGATCTGGGTTTAGATACAGCAGCGAGCTCCTTCTCAAAGAAACTTAATTCCTATCCATTAGATTTTTCTATGACACAAAAATAAGCATTGATATGGGTGCTAAAACATTTTGATGTTTATGTGGGTTCTGTGTGCCTGTGCTGGTCTACACCGAGCACAATCCTTTAACTTTTCTCAAATCTCTCTAAAGTGGTCACTGTTCTTAATCAAATTGGCTAGAAATCCGACATATCTTAATTTTCTGGTAGTATGTTTTGGGGTGTTCTATGTTAAGGAATAATCATGAACACCAGTTTAAAAATGGTGTACCTCCTGTTTTTTGTCATGGCTCATGAGCCGGGTCATGACAACATCCACAGTCGCTGTGGAAACCATTTAGTCCAGTGTGAATGCTCTCCAAATTATTCGAAGGGTTTGTGTCTATCTGAGAGTACAACAGAGAGGCAGTAGCTGTGTGTTATTTGTGTGGTTGCATTGTGGCTCACTGTGGGGGTGTAATACTGCAGGTTGCTGGCAGACTCACTCAACTGCACAGAAAAACAGTGAAGAGCAAGAACAACTGATGTAAAGATTATGAGGAATAAAATCCAAGTTCAGACTGACCATTTCTTGATCATGTTAAACACACGAGCACACACACAGCCTCATATGCAAGACAAAATGTCATTGCTATTTGGTTTATTCCTCCTGTGTGCACGGCTATGTAGTTACATTTTTTCATTTAGCTGACGCTTTTATCCAAAGCGACATACAATAGCTATACATGTCAGAGGTCACACACCTCTGGAGCAACTACGGGTTAAGTGTCTTGCTCAGGGACACATATGTTGCTGTGGGGAATTGACCCCGGGTCTCTCACACCAAAGGCACGTCTTATCCACTGCCCTATCACCACCCCCACCAGAGTTACATGGCAGCACACAAGGTTTCAACTGAGGGCAGATTGAAAATAACTCTAATTAAGCATCACAGCTGTAGTATGAGAGTGAGACAGATAGAGAGAGTGAGACATTGAGTGTGAAAGAGAGGATAAAATAAGACATCATAATTGCCAAGCTCGATCAGAAGAGAGAGGTTTTTATGCTTACATCAGTGCCAATATTAGCAGTTGGAACCACATGCAATTTTGCCCTCAGAAAGACATATTTGTCCTCCTTTCATTATCATTAATATCAACTACATTAAAGAAAGAAAGACATAATCTTCTTGCTTTATGTTTGGCTTGGATTAAAACCACACTCTACCATGCCCTGGCGTTCCTAAAGCCTTTTTCTCCATTTGCATACATCTGGAATGGATTGTTTTTATACATACTGTACATTTAAAGAGACAGAAAATCTACTGTATAAGAAGATGAGTCTCTGTGGAGATAAATATTTTCTGAGTGATGATGATTGGTGGCTACTGTTGACCTCTCCCCACCTCTCATATGATAAAAGTGTGCATCCACTTACGGTCTCCTTAATACTAGCTCAAACTGAAAAAAGTCAATGCTCTCCAGTGTATCCCTCCCCCTTCATTTTAATGGGCATGATGCCTGTGCACACACACATGCACACAGTCCCTGAGGCCAGCAGAAAACTGGGATCAGAAACAGAAATTCATTCTCTGCCATTACTTTCATGAAGTAAATGTTATTTTTACTATAACAAAGAATTCTTCTTTGATAGATATATCCCTAGGATTGATTATATAATTGTGGCCAATACATGTGTGTGTTCCATTTTTTTTTCAATGAAATGCATGTGCAAATGGTAAAAATGTTTCCTAGCAACAAGATCTACATAACTGTTGGAGCAACAATGCTGAGGCAACTTCCAGGAACACAGTCACCAACAGATTTGCCCAAAACATTTCCCTGAATCGCACTGCTTTAAAGGCAAAAAGCCCTAACCTTTCTCAGCACTGCAGAAGTCTGCAGCAGCTGCAGCAGAACAGAGCTTTATGTAAAATTGTAGTTCGGATCACAAGGTTAAAGACAATACATATGCCATGCTGCATTGTGTGTACCTAAATGACATGGCATTCTGGGAATTAATATTTCATTAAATGTAAAGATGATGTACATTTATTAAATTACTGATACAAATTTGTGATACATATGGTGTAAAATGAAAATGTATTCAGCATTCATGGGGTTAAATAAAACACCTTGTTGCTGCATTGCTATACTGGCCTCCCACTGTGGGACTCAAAATGAATTTGGCTTGAACATGAACTACGAAGAAATTTCAGCCTTGTTTGATTCATCCATATAAAGTGTTGGGTTCACACGCAACAGGTTACAAGTCAAGTACATTTTGTGGCTGCAGCCAGCAACTGTCTTGACCTCAGAGAAAAAAATACTGCTCCAACTAGCAGAGTGTAAAAAAAGAGAAATACATGTTTATGTGACAACTGAAAGGGAAGGACCAGATCTTCTTCTTTTGCTGTTGTTTAGAATTTGAAAGATTCATGCTGTGGGAAACATCTCTTTCCAACCAGCCTGCTCCCATGTGGGGGTGGGGGGGGGGGTCACCTGCTCTGGAAAGATGCATTTGCTCTGGACACTGCAGAGCTTGTTGGAAGTGTAGAGGGCAGAGTGGCTGAGCTGCTGCAGCCACCTTAGTATGATGCTGCGTGAGCCACTTGCTCGTTTTGCATGGGCGTCACTTTGAGTGTGATGAAATAATTCAATCTTTTAGTTTTCATTAATATGATTTTTTTTTTTTTTTAAATGTGTCAAACAAGCAATAATCGATGTAAATCTCTGTGGAAACATAACACATTAGCTTCCAGACATTTCGGTCTTTGATATGGTCATTTTTTATTTGCTATTTTTAAACCTCTCACCTGTTTCTCCAGCGATTCCTTCCCAGTGTTGGACATCTTTGGCGCCGGCGCGCGCTCGCAGGTGCATCCTTCCAACAGGTAAATCCCGGCAGGTCGCGCGCTCTGCTCGTTCTCGAAGTAGAACAGTACATTCTGGTAAAGGGCGAAGAACTTCTCGTGCCATCGGCTGTTCTCCGCCGTCTTCTTGCTCAGGTATCCGCGCTTAGTCCCGTCTTTACGCGCGACCGCCGACAGAAACAGCGCGTGCCCTTCATTGTAGCGGACGCTCTTCTGCATTTTGTCGTACGGTGTGGTAGAGAGAAGAAATTGGGACAACCAGAGCTTTCACTGCAAGCCCATGGGGTTGCGTGTAAACTTTCCCACCGAGACGCTTGGTTCAGCGAAACCGTGGCGCACGGAAAAGTTGCCCCGCTGACAGGAGCGCTTCTGCAGAGGAACTCATGGTAAACATGTCCGAGTCTTACAAGCACTTGAATAAATCCATGCTGCTCGCAAAAAAGCGCGCTTCTATAAATAAACAACAACAAAACAAGCAGGAGAAAGCGAGATCGAGGCGTGTCGTTCTCAACGGGGAAAACCCTCAAGTGGAGAGACAGTGACAGAATCACAGACCCGATAAACTGTAATCGGCTTTGACAGTGTTTAACTCTCTGCCTCGCACACAAACACTCACTCCCACTAGGTCTCTCTATCTTTCTCTCTCTCCAGTGATGCGCGCTGATCTTGGAGTTGGTAGAATTAAAGGCGGAGCATGAGTGGTGTGTGTGTGTTTGAGGGTATGAGAGAGAGCTAGAGATGTGATGCAAATTTTCTCAGTGGCAAATGATTTGTATTTGCATTATTAACAGCGACGGGTAGCAAAAAGTACACCCTAACGGACAAGCCTACATTCAGGATAAAGACTACATGAATACAATGCCTGTTCAACTTTGACAAAACGCGTGTAAATCAACAATTTAATGCCTCCTCATGTCATAATCGGTTTCCTTCATGTTTTCTGCACAACAAGAAACTATGTCTAAGTTCTTATTTAAAGGGGAACTCCACCAATTAGACGCATCTGTTTATATTACAGTATCCCGTATTAGTACAAAATAAATACATATAAAGATGTAGGCCTAGCCTATGCCTATAAAGCCTTTTGTTAATCTGGAGTGAGCTGTGCAAAGTCTGATAAATTAAAGTTAGCACAAGTTTGAAAATGAAAGAAATATGGATATGGCGTTGGAAAGTGCGTTTACCAGGCCTCTGTAGCCTGCTCCTCATCTCTTCTTTAGGCTAGTAGCATAAGTCCTCTACAAGCTTCACACACTGGAATTGCATTGTGGGTAATGTAGGTGCCACATATTGACAAGAAAGAAGAATGTGTGGAATAAAAAAAGATCTCTGATCTCTGATTCCGCTGCATCAATTATGATCTCTTTTTCCTGTCCATTACAATGCTATAGTAGCACAATGCTAAATCTGTGGAGTAGGCTCCTCTTTTTAAGGTCAGACAGAGAACAAGTGTAAGAAGTTTTTGTTTTGTTTTTTTATCACAATACACACTGATGTCACATATAGTCTGGTGGGTCAAACCTTGATCAATTGGTATTAATTGATGTTATGACAATTAGGTTACAGTACAGATGATGATGATGATGTTTATGGTGGCAATGACGATAACCAGCACCAGAGATGTTTATTCTCCTGAAGGCTAAAGCATGTATATTGTTCTTTGAGCATGGCCATTCACTGACAGCTGGGTTCTCTCCTCTTCATGTTCTGATCTGATGGTGTTGACTACCATTGCAGCGATGTCAATAGTTTGACTGCAGCCACTCCATAAGGGATGATTTGTCCGAGATGCGCCAAAGATCTGAAAGAAGTTTCTTATTCTTCCTAGAGAGACACAAAGACAAGGAAATGTTGCATAAACAAAATATTGTATATAAAACTAATATATTTCCTTACATAAGTCCACATGTTTTGAGCCAAAATACATTATACTCACACACACAGCAGAGTGAGAGTATGATAAAATCCCTGTTCTTAACCTCCAACAAGCAGCTCAACTCCTGTGTGTATGATTATTGTGTACTCAGCATGGCTTCACTCTAACAAACGACAAACATCTCATATAGGGAGGATTACATTGATGGAGAGGTAGCACATATAATGTGTGTGTGTGTGTGTGTGTGTGTACGCGCGCTGACAGATATTTCATATAGTGAGGATTACTTAGGAAGAGACTAAGCAACGCTCAACTCCCAGCAGGCTGTCTGTTACACAGCGAGGAGATGCCATGTGTAAATTTACAGCGACAGAAGAATGTGGAGAAAGTGCAATATGCTGACGCTTCAACAGCAAAAGACTAAGAATTCTCCGTATTTCTGCTTCCTAACTCAATCGCAACCAGAACACCTCTGCCTGGCAGTGTGTGGTTCATCCTAATAGAAAAACTTGTCTATATCAGCATTAAAAAAAACATATATTTTCTCTTTCCATCCCTATTAGTGTGCGCTTGTGCATTCCTCTTAATATTTGGAAAAGGTAAATTAGCCAAGGGAAAACTTGGACCCTCTGGGAGAAAATATTCCCAGGACAAAAGGTTGACAACAGCTGTTAAGCATCTCCGTTTTAATCAACAATTCCAGAACATTCATTTTAATTAAAATTGTCATTTATTTAATAACCACGTTAGGAATGTCAATTTAAAATAGGAACTTCAAACAAAGAACTTATTCAAATCTATCTTGTTTGTTAATGGAAAACTGCACCACAAATTGAGGTTGACACTAAACTAATCTAAAATAATCTCATTACTGTTCTTTTTTTCCTTCATGAAAATACGGGTGACCTGTGGATTGATTGCAAAGTTTAAAAAAAGTTTTCTCCCACTGTTTATTATTAAAAAAATAAATAACCTATGTTACGTTACATAGCAATGCAGAGTTGCAATGAAAATGCAAAAAGGACAAATGATGTGTTAAACTCTCAGGTGCAGTGAGAGGGTAAGGGGAGGGAGAGCGACTGATTTAAAAGTCGTCACGTTCGAGAGTGTCATTCAGTGAAACCCCGAAGCTGTGACTTCGGGCATGTTGACTGGTGTATCAGGGACACTGGGCTGCTTGTCATCATAGAAACAGATCATCAGACAGAGATTTGTTTCGCAGCTTCAGTAATATTGTCAGCCTTCTCTTCGATGCGCAGCTCCACTGCTCACCGAAGCAAATGTCTCATGAGTGCTGATAGGCTATTCGCAACGTGTAACCAACCAGACAGTGCCGTGGGCGGGACATTGAGCAAGACTACAGAGAGGTGATTACCTACAGAGACAGGCAGCCACATCAGAGCCAAAGTAGCGCATTTTAAAATAGGGATGCACCGAATGTTCGGCCACCGAAATTAATCGGCCGAAAATAGCAAAAAAAAAACACTTTCGATGTTCGGCCTAATAAGTCAAAAGACTGAATAAGTTTTAGCGAACAATTACGTTGACATGTCAGCAGTGTGGAAGCATTTTAAAGTGTCTGAGAAAGACGCAAGAATCGCCGTTTGCAGACGCTGTTCTGCTGAATTGACTCCTAGCACATCCACTCCATCTGTGGCTGACTTCTTAGAAAAGGCAACAAACTGTCTGAACCGCTTTGAGTGTTTCTATCTCTCGTTTCTGAGAAGGCGATTAAGCTAGCCGCACCTACATTTGGAGTGCACACGTATTTAAGCCTTTATGGTAAATCCACTGAAACAGACCAGAGCGAGCTGAAAGGCAGGTTAGCGACTTCATATTGTCAGTTTCTCTCTTTACAAAGGCAAGTACATTAAAAGTAAATGGACACATGTAATTTACTTTACTGGAGGGCTTTACTTTAAATTTTGTTTATTTTGGATAAATATTATGCAGCAGAGGCAGGGATATATAATCCAGAAAGGGGGAAATCCCCCCCAAGCAAATCGCACCCTGCCCATAACCATAGTAATTCACTGTAAATCCTGCCTGTGTGCGCACTGTGTGAGAGGAGAGGAGTCACTGTGCTGCTTAGTTTACTCTGAGTAGTATGCAGGGGAATAAACTAATCAACAATATTGTAGAGTTTTACATATTTCTCACTTTATGAATTACACACTTGATTTGTCGCTAGTCGCTTTTTACAAATGAAGTTGCTGAAGGTCTGAAAAAAAACAGGAAAACTATCCATCATAAAGCTGCTTGTAAGTCTCTCTCTCCTCTGTGAAACTCCTTGGTACATTTTCTGGTTCAGATGTATGAGCACAAGAATTAATCAAGTTTATTTGAGTGATAAAGCTTAAATATACACTCAATTTAGTGTCAGTGGAGCTATTTTGAGTTTCATTTCTTCATGACACAAATTTTTTTTTTTCAGCTACAAGCTCGATTTGTGCTTAACAGTATTCAAGAAACTCCAAAAACACAGGAACAGGACATTTTGTGATTTATGAGACGGTTTAGTGAGATACTGCAGCAATTTAGTAGTAAGTAAAAGTAAAAGCAGCTGAGATATCCTGCCCTTTTCCCCCCAAAACACCGGATCCTACATTTCCAATAACTTGACAGTATTTATGTGGTAGGTTGCATTCAGACCATCTTCAGCCCAGAGTTAAAAAGCAAAGCCCCCTCATTCATCTGAATGAGGCCAGTCCATTGCGAGGATGCCAATGTACGGGAGCGCTAGCAAGTTGAACATGACCATAAAATAATTGCCTACATGATAACTTTTCAGAGTAGTAAAATCCTGCTTCACAGTATAAAGTGAGTGGAGTGCCCCTTTAAGAAAAGGTCAGGGTGTGTTCGTAGTACCTCCTGGCGTTGACTATGCGCTCCAGCTCTCGGGCTTTGCGTGCAGCAGTGTGTAGTATAGGGTCTGGAATGTCTGCCAATCGGGCGACATTCAGGCCATAGCTCCGCGCTGCAGCTCCTTCAGTTAACTGGTAGAGGAAGGTGATGAATTCTGGCTGAACCTCTCCATCTGCCGGCATATACACAAAGTGCAGAGTAATAGTGATTTAGAAATGTCCAAAGTAAGACTGTTAATAAGATTGGCAACAGTCAAATTCATAATATACACCCCAAAAAACAGTGAATGCATATTCATATGTGCACAAAAATGCACGCGCACATACCATTAGTGTCAGTGGCGATGTCAGGTTCATTGAGTAGGAAAGCCATGTGGTAGTTAGACACATGTTCAGGATACACCCGCTCCAACTCGCACAGAGGAGGGTAATGGGTCACAAACAGTGTGAGGGCTTTCACCTACGAAAAAGAAGGAGAGAGTGAAGTGTTAACATTGAGAAAAACCTAGTACACAGGGTCTCTGGCAGCTCTTTGGTCTACCATCAGATTGTTCAGGAAACCTACATAAAGAGGCTCAGCCAGGTGTGAATGCAATCTGTGCATTGTGTTGACATTAGTAAAAAAATATCCAGCTGAAGCGAAGACAACAGCATAGCTGCAGGCAGCAATGTCATCACTGCAGTGACTGCTGTGTAGCGGCCTGCCAGAGAAGCTTGTCACTTCTGTTGTTTCAGGCGGTCGTGGAAGACGTTTTGCTGGTAGGTAAAAGTAAGAAAAGTAAGTACGAGCTGTACAGTAATGGCACTTGTTCTGACCCTCCACCTGCCATGTTTGGTTTTACTGACAATAAAACTACCACTTTCCCACCTACTCACCAGCTTCGCATAGTGCCTGTGAACTGAGATCTGATCAGAGTGCCCACAGAAAGCAGACAAGAAAACCGTATAAAATCTCAAGTAAATGTTAAGATATTGCTGTTTGTATTTGTCATTATCTGTTTAGATGAAGACCACATTTTATTACCAGGTGTAAGAGAGGTCATGTTGGTAGAATAATGATCACATTTGAAAATCAATGAGCCAAAGTCTGAGAAAACACAATAATGAAACAGAAAATCTCATAAACAAGGTGACGCCATAAGGTAATAATTTCTCATTAGAACTAAACACAAAGTGCAGCTGAGGCTGATGGGAATATCATTAGTATTGTGTGTATTTGGTCATAGCCCAAAATATTTAGATTTTTGACATCAATAAAGTGATTATAATTCATCTCATCAGTTTCGTGGTAATTCATCCAATAGTTGTCGAGACATTCCACTCAACCACAAATGTCAACCTGCTAGTGGAGCTAAAGATAAAGTCAGGGGATCATCAAAGTCAGAAAGGATCATCGTCAAGATCCCACAAATGGTATAAACTGAATCTTAGGGGTCAGCCGATAATTACTTGGGCAGGAGATAATGAGACAATGTTAAGATTATATGTCATGGGTCTGTGATGTGTGATCACAAGTAGATGTGGGTTCGTATTAGTGTAGGCAGCCACAATATTCAGGAAAATTTGACCTGCTGGTAGCACTGCAGGAACAGTCAGCAAAGTCATTAGGATACATCCTCAGGGCACCCTGAATGTCTGTACTAAATTTCATGGCAATCCCTCCAATAGTTGTTGAGAAATTTCTGTGGTGGACCAATCGACCCTACCATCCCCAGACACAGCTAAAAATCTATCGTTCCCTCAGCATTCTCACTTTAACAGCTCTTCAGATTTAAAAAAGTTTTTTTAAGCCCTTAAACATAAGTATGTATATATACACACACCTTACCACAACTATATGATTTATATTCCTAGTAGTAATTGGGATCTTGATAATACCCTACTAAATTATTTAGTTAGTCCTTTGACTTCAGTGAATATTAATCAAACAAAAAAAGTATTTTACAAAAGAGAAATGTATAAAAGAAAAAAAACTAAGAGAACAACCAAAAAAGAGGGGGATAAAGTAATACATGTACCAAATGGTAGGTATCATAACAAATGATGCATATTATGTAACACCATCTGTGTTACCACAACTAAGCAAAAGTTGAAACTGAAAAACAAAGAGCAGGGCATCTACATCTACTGTACTTTGGCCCAGTATTAGTCAACTGTCTATGTATCCTGCAGTGTGCTGAACTAATGCATGAGGACATTTTTTTCGTCTTAGTCAAACTGCAGTAGAACTCTCCACTTTCCTGCCTTTCACTGTAAACACCACAGCCAGCTTTTCGGGCTCTGGAGAGAGATTGACCAAAATAAAGGCACTTCACCTCATACTGCTATTCCTTAATCACTGTCAGGCCTGGGAGCCTCCCAAAGGTTGACTGAACTCTGGCAATGAGGTCAAGACATGAAAATCACAAAAAGAGGGTGGCGCATGCACTCACTCCGCCTCCCTTTCAAATTCCTGCACAAACATGTTTCCTCTCAGCGCTTCACTCTCAGGACAGCTGCTGAGAGCTCCTCACTAAAACAAATGCATTTCCTTTTCCTGATTACTTTAACAACCCAATTACATGTAAATGGGATTAGTGAGGAGACATTACCATAAAATACCACTAAAATACAGATGGGTGACAAAATAAAGTAAAAACCTACCACCTACACCTACCAGGAGCCTTCACAAGTCTGAGGAACTCTGTTGGAGGGATGAAAACCGTTCTTCTACAAGATTTTTCCTTGATCTCCTGTCTCTCTTTCCCACATAGTAGAAAACCGTTTTGACAATGTGAAAAACTTTTGAAACACAATAACTTACGTGGGATTAAATATCCCAAACATTTTAGCTTTTATATTCATTAAATCTGATGATGACAGTAAAGGTAAATCTTCTATGAGCTCTCATGGTGTAGCAGGCCTGTATCTTATATCATTGCAGCAGACATGCGGCTGCATTGACTCAGGCTGGCTCCAGGATTGGCCCGCTAACCGCTCGGCCTAAGAAAGGTCACACTTCACTAGTAATACCTGCCTCTGAGAGAGACATGCAGAGTGAGTCCCACATGCTTCAAACAGAGACACACAGACCTGTACCCGCTGAAACACATGTGCAGCACTCAAACGTGAGCACACACACACGCAATTTCCCCAATTCCTGTCTATAGACACTGAAAGGTAAAAACAAACGGAGCATGTGCAGGAGGCAGGCTGCAGACAGGATAATGGTCTGATTAGGTGCTAATGGCAGCTCATTACCAGACCACCCCGGGGTCCCCTGACAGCCGTGCTCTGCAGAACTGAGCGATCTGATAAAATTAGTGCTGAAACAATTAGTCGATAACCAGAAAATTTGTCACTGGCACTTTCAATGATCAAATAATAATTTAAGTCATTATTAAGTAAATATCCAAACTATTAGTGCCTTTGTCACTTCCCGTCTAGACTACTGCAACACTCTCCTCACTGGTATCTCTCCACCAAACTCATCAATCGACTCCAACTTGTTCAGAACTCTGCAGCAAGGATCCTGAGCTTTACCAAATCATCGGCACATATCACACCTACTCTTATCAAACTTCACTGTCTCCCTGTGCAATACAGGATTAAGTTTAATCCTACTCACCCTACATTTAAAGGCCCTCCACAACCCCTCCTGCTCTCTTTATGCCCCCTCATGCTCCCTCCGCTCCTCCACTGCTGGTCTCCTTGTCACCCCTCCATTCCGCCTCTCCACCATGGGAGCCAGAGCCTTTAGCTGCTCGGCACCCAGGCTTTGGAACACACTCCTCCCTCATATTCGACAGGCAGACTCAGTCACGTCTTTCAGAGAACTCCTCAAAACACATCTTTTCCGTGAAGCCTACAGTCTTTAGACTTTTTATCCACAACAAAAAATAGTTTTGTCCTCTTATTTTAGTTTATCTTAATTGTACCTTTTTTACTGTATGTAAGATGTCCTAGATTGTCCTGAACGGCGTCCCCCAAATAAAATCTAGACAAACATTTAACCGGAAGGCAGGAAGAGAGAAAAAAAAAAAAAAGGAGGTATACTTTGAGGAAACTGGCATGATTATCTAATTTCTTTGTGTCTGAATGCTGCTGGTTAGGTCTACAATGGTCAGGCGATTCCTGGGTAGCTGGATGGGGTTTGAGAGGTATGGATAATGTTTGTTAGCAGTTTTTGAGTCTGTTTTTGTTTTGTTTTTTGTATTTGGATCTCTGTACAATGCATTGGTTCATCATGTAAGGGGGCAGAGGTTGTGGAGTGGCTTGATAGGAGGGAAACAAGGGATTGGGGTGTGAGAATTGGTAGTCTGTGTCTTGAAAAGGAGAAACATCTATAAATATCCACCCTTAATGTAAGCTAAAATCTGCTGTATGTTTATAAACAGATGCTAGGAGCGGTCAAACACTAAAGGAGGCCGGGTCCAGATGGGACAGGCTGTGTGTTCGGCTCACTTGACATGACAGTTCAAATAAAACCGCATCTCTGACAGACTGCTGATCTGCAACATTCCACATATAACACTTTATCTGCATGGTGTCACCTCTTCTTCTCCTACAATATGTCTCTGATTGGTGTCACTGCGCATATGTAGAGCATCACCACTCTTCCCAGCTGTTTTACAACACTATGCTTTCAAAGGCGCGAGCGTGTGGGCGCACAAGTGTGCTTCCACTCGGCCATATGATCCTGAGGAAAGGGTTGCAGGTGTCAACACCACTGTTGCCGTCTCTCTGTCTTGTTCCTCCTCCCTATCCAATTACACACAAATCCAATCCTTACTCAAGTCTACACCTTACGTGTTCTCACCTCACAACTAACAAGGCTCTCGCTGAGGTGCTCTTTGTGATAGAGTGATTTAGTGTAAATGAAGCATGCATTTGTGTCACTGACATCTGACTTTGGCCATGAGTCAATCCTGTTCTGGCCTAAATGAGTCGAGCCAAGGTCAGTGACCAGTGCAGAGGTTTCTTATAGGCCATGTTTTTCCTTTTCTTTAAATGGAAAATACTTGGTGCAGCAATGCTTGTGGCTTTTTTGTAACATAGAGGGTGCAATAATAAGTACTGACTGTTTAAGATACTGACATGAAGGAGTGTTGAATGGCCCTTTCACACCAGTAGGTCAGTTAATTTTGGCTGGACTAAGAGATGACAAAAAGATTCATACCTTTTATTAACAAATGTCTGTTGTCCAATTACATCCCCCCCATAAAGCCGCTGGTCTTGCTACTGTACTTGTGCTGTTTCTGATCACTAAAAGTTGATGAGAATCATTCATTTTGCATCCTTTAATTTATAAATTTTTTAAGTTTGTATACTGCAGGATTATAAACCTCCGTTTACAGGACTTGGGGAGAACTAAAACATATGTAAAAAAAAAAAAAAAAAAAGATTGTATAAAGCCTTTTGAGGCTCCAGTGCAAGCTGTGCTAAATCTGACAAATTGAAAATCCACATCACCTGGGCCTG